ACTATCTCGCTGGAACATCTCTCGAGGCTATTTACAGAATCTGGTCTTTTCATCCTGCCCCAAACAAAGACCAGGTAGCTGCTATTGACCACCTTTTCACATTGCCCTAAGCAAGCATCCTGCAGCTGCTAGCCCAATGAAAAAGCTTCCTTATTTCAAGCATATAAATACCCCTGTGTGAAAAATGAAAATTGGCAGCTTGATCAGAATCCTTGTCTTGCTGTCCTTCCTGTCTCTTGTCCCTTCATTCCTTCTCGCTTAGGTTCATTGCCCTCGTTGAGGTCCTGCGGGTCGGGACACTGGCGTTTGGGGGGGGTGGAGTTCCAGTTTGGGGGGGGATGGTCGTGCAACATCGGCATGTTCTCAGAGCCACTCCCCTGGGCACCCAGGAGGAGGGTGAAGATGGTAAATGTTAGATTTATGAACAGGGTTGTTTTTGTTTGTGAACCCAGGGTTACCTTGCATTTTGAGGTGCTCTATCCCTGGTGTCAACCCCCCCAGACCTTTAGGCTTTGAAAAATTTCAAATACGGCCCTGCATCTATGGCTGGGCTAGCCCATTTCCTCTGTTGACACTTCCCACCGTAGATGAGATGACAGACAGGCGCTGTTGTGCTCATCACCTTTTTAAAAATATTCTCAGGGCCTGGACGCTGTCCCTGAGCTTTCCCACTCCAGGCTAGCACTCTCCCATTTGAACCACAGCTCCCCACCTGGCTTAGTTTGTCACGCGGTTACAAAGCTAACAATAGCACTACCGGCCTAGGGAACCAGCCAGTGGAGGTTGGGCGTGGGCCCACCTCACATCAATTCAGTTCTAATCGTAGATTTGGGGTTGATGACCTGTACATCAAGGCGACGATGAGGGCCCAGTGCCAGTGGCCCACACTGAGACTTGAGCTCCTACCAGCTCCTCTCACTGGTTCATTTGTGCCTTGGGGAATGGCTTCAATAGAAGGTCATTTGGATGCAAGCGCCACCAGCCCACCACAGCCTGTCTTGCTCTGCGCTGAGGTCAGGACCTCCAAACTGGTGTGGAACTGAGGAGGCCCAGGGAGGCCCCACCAGGCCTTGTGTGCTGTCTCTTGGGTTCTCCTTTGGTGCTCTCAGGGAGCAACCCTGCCAACTGGCAACCATGGCAGTGTGCTGTCTCTCTGCTGGGTGTGTGGCCTGTAGGACAGTGGGCAGCTGGTCCCTGCACAAAAGCCCGGAGAAGGGTAGATGGTGAAGCCAGAAGCGAGGCCCTTCCGGGGGCAGACAGGCAGGACAAAGATTCTTTACTTTGGCCACAGGTTGTTAAGAAGGAGACTTCTGGTTTTTTTTTAAAAGCTATTTCCCAGCAATTAGAGGAAGTTGCGGCTAACAAAGATCTGTTCTGGGAGGTGGGAGGCTCACAGACATGACTGCTTTGTGGCTCACGCACATCTGACTTACTACCCAACCCTGCAACTATCCTTGAATACCAACCAACTCCAGCTCTTCTCACCCAGCTCTGTGCTCTGAGCCGCAGCCATTTTTGCTTGCATTACCCTGAGTGCCTCTTGGAAGTTCCATTATGTTCACTCTGCCTCAGTTACCCCATTGTCAGTATGAATCCAATAGCCTGCTCCTCAGTGCCCTGGTCAGACATTGCCCTACCCCTACCCAGTCTTGTCATCCTGCAGGGCTGAGCATGTGCCCAGGGGACTGTGCACTCTGGCTTTCTCCCTAGACACCGGCAGGTGTTCGTGTGTGTGTGTGTGTGTGTGTGTGTGTGTGTGTGTGTGTGTGTGTGTGTGCCAGTCACTACTGGAGCTTGAACTCAAGGGCCTCATGCTCTTACTAAACATTTTTACTCAAGGATGGCACTCTACCACTTGAGCCACATTTCCACTTCCAGCTTCTTGGTGGTTAACAGGGGATAAAGAGTTTCAGGGACTTTTCTTCCAGGGCTGGCTTTTGAGCCTCAATCCTCCGATTTCAGCCTCCTGTGCAGCTAGAATTATAGGTGTAAGCCATTGGTACCTGGCCTGTTTCTACATCTGAATTGAAAAAGTTAAGCCACATTTTAGATACAAGCTCTTCATCTTCCTGGCCTCCTAATAAGAAGTATAAATATGGGGGAAGGTGGGAAGGAGGCAGAAAGCTTGCTGTGCATCACGGGACCCCTGGAAGGAGCAACATTAGAGAACTTTGGCCAACATCTACACGAAGTAGGTGAAGCTTAATGAAGATGCTCACACAAACTGCCAGCAGCGCCAAACAAACCAAAAAACCCCACCAAAATCATTTTAGAAAAGAGGCTCCAACTGCCTTCCCTGGATGATGGTTACCCAAGAATTCTACCCAAGTTGAGATGAGACGCTATGCGTCCATATTTGTGCAGGGCCCAGCCTGCCCTGCAGCCAGCTTCCTGCCTTCTATCCATGCCCCTAGCTGGCAGCATGGAGCCTAGTGCCAGGGCAGCTATTGTGGACAGCAGCTTGAGTAGAGTCAGGCCATGGATAAAGATCCCTCTGCAGTCCACTCAGGTGTCAGAGTGACAGCCCCTTCCTGGATGCCCCTGGATGGCCTGAAGCCCAGCATCAATTCTTCTGTGCTAGCCACAAGGAACACATGCGGGATAGCAAGCAGCACTCTTGACCTAGTCAATCTTTTCCCCTCCTCCACACCTTTTCCCAGTGTCACCCTGTCCCAGGGACTGTGCTGATATTTGTGGCTGGGCGAGCTAGGTGTGGCACCTGCCACAGAGTCTGGGGTGCAGTCTCTTTTCTCCCACACCCCAGGGCTGACCATGGAGTTTTCGTGTGTGCTGGTACCAGAACTTGAACGCAGGGCCTTGAATTTTCTTTTTTTTTTTTTTTGCTCACAGTCGAAACTTTTTTTTTTAATTTGCAGTTTGAAGTGGGCCTGGGCGCTGTCTTTTAGCTTTTCAGCTCAAGGCTAGCTCTACCACTTGAGCCACATCACCACTTTTAGTTTTCTGGTGGTTAATTGGAGGTAAGAGTCTTACAGACTTTCCTGCCCAGGCTGGCTTTGAACCGAATTCTCAGATCTCAGTCTCCTGAGTGGCTAGGATTATAGGCATGAGCCACCAGTGCCGGCTCTGCACTCTACCACTTTTGAGTCACAGCTCCACATCTGTTTTTTTGAGTGGTTAATTGGAGATAACAGTCTCACTGGGACTTTTCTGCCAGGCTGGCTTCGAAATGCGATCCTCAGATCTCAGCTAGGATTACTGGTGTCTGGCTGAAACTCTCATTTCTACCACTTGAGCCATACATCCTGACAGGCTTTTTTTCTTTTTTGGGGGGGTGGTGCCAGTACTGGGTCTTAAACTCAGGCCTAGGTGCTCTCTTAAGTCACATCTCCACTTCTGGCTAACAGGAAATAAAGTCTCATGTCTTTTCCTGCCTGGGCTGGCTTTGAACCGCAATCCTCAGATGTCAGCCTCTCAGTAGCTAGGATTACAGGTGTGAGCCACTGGGACTTGGCTGCTAGTCCACTTCTATCTGGACACCTAGTCCGAGGTGATCTGGTGGTGGTGGCAGTGCCCTGCCCCGCAGTGGAGGCCCTGTCAGCCACTTGTTCGTGCTGGCTCTGTGCTTGTTCACCAAGGACACATTCACTGGAATCTCAAGTCAGTCCCTGGGGCTGGTGGGAGGCACATGCAGGGCCAAGAGTTGGCTGCGAAGGTTCAGGGGTCACAGGGTGGCTCATTCTTCAGGGGCTGAAAGGATGGCCAATGTATTTGCAGCGTTACCCACCGCTAGGCTCCTCAAACCTGCTTTCCACTGGGATTGCCTTCTGGGAGCCATATGGTGACTTTACCCTCTTCTTCCAGCCTCGGGTTGGCTCTCCACACCCCTGATCTCTAAAGCGCACTGCACTAACTGATGCTCCCTCCATCCAGCATAGAAAGCTCTGGTTAGCTAAGAGGGAAAGGCCAGGAAGATGCCTTAGGAGTTATTTTACTTTTTGTACCAATCCTGGGGCTTGAACTCACTTCCTAGGCACTGTCCCTGAGCTTTTCTGCTCAAGGTTAATGTTCTACCATGTGAACCACAGCTCTACTTCTGGATTTTTCTTAAGTTTCAGTGGAAATAAGAGTCTCACAGACGTTCCTGTCTGTTGGCTTCTGTGATCCTCAGATCTTAGCCTCTTGAGTAGCTAGGATTACAGGCGTGAGCCACCCGTGCCTGGTACCTTAGGAGTTACTGTTGTACAGAAAACACTTGCTGGCTTGGCTGTGGCTAAACAATGGTCAAGACTGGCTGCAGCAGGCGTCTCTCTCTGACCATGGCGGTCCCTTCCCACTTGTCTACTCTCTCTCAGGGAGGTCCCATGTACAGATGTGGCCTGGGCTTCCCAAAATACCATGGAGTCACGTGGCCAAGGCACAGCCTGTACCTATGACCCTCCTGCGTGGACAGCAGGTGTGGACACAGGATTACAGTAAATCACAGCACAGCTGCGTGATCGGCATTCTGCCATTTTTTTTTTAATATAACATTTATTGCTTAGATGGTTTGATACAGAACAGCTTTCTTTTCATTCTGAATTTGGAAGTTCTATACAACTGAGTACAAAGAGGAACAAAAAGTACCAAAACCAAACTTGTGATTCTCTGTTCATGTGGCATAAACCAGTTTTGTACATAACATGTAGCAGCAGTGTTTAAGTTCCCTTTAGAAAAAAAAAGTAATGAATTCTACACACGTATTATTGTTTCCTGTTTAATGCATGGGCTGAAATCACTAGATGAATTTCTTTCTTGAAGAAAGAGAGGAGAGGAAAGAGACTGATGCAGGATGAATCTGACATTGTTTGGAAAACAGCCCCCTCTGGGAAGGAGTTGTTTTGTTTTCACAGCCAGGTTTTTCATGTAGTGATTGAATCTCAGCACTGTGTCCATTAATCAAAGAGGAAATAAAGAGAGAGAGAAAAAAACTTGCACCTCAAAAAAAAAAAACTTCTCAGAAGATCCATATATATATGCATATATATGTATGTATGCATATATACACACACACATATGCATACATACATATACACTTTTTTTTCTTGTAAAAGCCCTGAGAGAAGGAGAAAGAGAATCAAACAAAATGTATAGAAACAAATTAGCTGGACATGCAAACTAAGCTATGATTAACCCAGCGTTTCAACAAATCACAAATTTCACAGTTTAATATTGGGGAGGCGGGCAGCACAACGAACAAATCATACATTTCTCAACCTCACTAATAAAATGTGGCAAGACCTTATTCACTACGAGGGTACAGATCAAGGCTAAATAAAGCTTTAAATCAATAGTGATTCTTGTGAGCTGCGGCCCCCCTCGTCAGCTGGGGACCGATCCCTGCTACATCACCGCAGCGGAGAGTTCAGCCATGGCTTCTCTCCACAATATTGCGAGTTTAGTGTGGAGAGTTGCAAAGAAGAACAAAACACAAAGAAACCCCAAATAACAACAACAAAAATAACAAAACAATTGAAATAATAATAATTAAAAAAAAAGAACACAATGAAGGGATGCATGAACTAGGTTTAACTTAGAAGACCAAGGGATCATTACTGGTTCTGATTCGCATTCACCATGACAGCAAATAATAAACCTCATTTAAAAACGGGTTCACACACCCCAATACAGTTAAAAAAATCATATACCTCACTTTTTCTTACTCCCTTGCATATGCAAAACGATCACTTTTCACTATGTCTAAAATATCTATCTTCCTTTGAAGTTGGGGTGGTTCGATTTTAGCCACCGGAAATTGGTTTAAAAAAAAAAAAAAGCTGGTGAAAGTGGACACGAAGGCATGTATGCACGCATGCCTGCATGGATGGTACAAGCCGGGGGAGGGGGTGAGAGGAAAGAAGGGGAGTGAAACTGGGGTAGAGGGACACTGCCCTTAGAGCAGGCAAGAGACCCCAGAGGGATACAACAAGCAGAGGCCTGAGTCTTGAGTGAAGGACAGGGGTCTGGACCCAGGTCAGGTACAGTGGGAGACATCTATTTCTTGCATAGAAGAACCTTGGGTCAGTTAAGGAATAATGACAGTGTATCTATCATCAAGCCCCAATCCATCGCAGGAAGGTAAGTATAATCCTCTTATCTTTAACCTTTGCACGTGTAGTTTTATTACCAGTAGTAGTATTTCCTTGCTTTTCAAACGACAGTAGCACAGCTGGGGGAGGGGGTAAGGCTTTGGACTGGGCGTAGCAGGAAGACTGGGATATCTTGCTCTAGGTTGTGTAACATGCCTGTCACTGCCTTCTTCCTTCAAATGGATCTCGGAGGCGCCCCCAGGCGCAGCCCTGGTCTCTCTGATGCCTTCTCCCATCACACCCACATCCTGGCTCTCAGCTTAAGCTGCTCCTTGGCTACTTCCAGCGTGCCACCGCTGGCCCCTGCTGGACTCTGCAGTCACGGAAGGAAGGCTTGTCTGAGTACAGTAGAGCTATCACCAGAGCGCTGTCAACAAAAGCTCCAGGCACGTGTCACACAGGGACCCGGAGGCAGCGCGGGTCTCCTAGGGACAAATATTGCCCATTTGTTTCTGCTGACTGCAGAGCCCAGCAAACTGATGAACTAAAAATAATAACAATAACAATAATAATATTAATAATAACAACAACATACACCAAATGGGGGAAGAGGGGACATCCAGGTATGTTTTCCATAGGTCAGGTTGCCAGGTAGGTAACTCTTCTCTGTAAATTCAGAACAAATGTCTTGAAACTTGAACGGTAACCATTTCTAACGTGGAAAGAGTAAGAAAGATGGCTGAAGCTAGAAATCACCCCTGGTTTTTGGCTTGACCCTTATTAGAGACCTTCATCAACCACATCCTGTAATACCTAGATCAGCTTAGAGGATCAGATCCTCTATGGAGCAACAAGAAGGGAAAAAGAAAGGCAAGAAAGACAAAAAAGGAGAGGGAGGGAGAGGGAAAGAGAGGGAGGGAGGGAGAGGAGGAGAGAGGGAGAGGAAAAGAAGGGGAGAGGGAAAGAAGGGGAGAGGGAGAGGGAGAGGGGGGAGAGAGAGAGAAAGAAAGAGGTCTTTTTGAGAAATGAGCCTTGAACCCATCTTCCCTCTGGTCATATACATGAAATTCACATCATTTTCTTCCAGTTATTGGCTATGGGTGTCCATGGGTTTTTCTCTTTTCTTTTCTTTTTCTTTCTTTCTTCTGTTTCTAGCTCACAGAACAAACAGCAATATCACAGATTCACAAAAACAAGCTCACACACACACCAATACAAAAGGTAATGTTAATGCTTAAATTCATTAAAGTATTTGTTTCGTTATAAAGTCATTTGGGAAAAACAACACCACCCATGACGACATGGGAAGATCCGAAAGTAGTTAAGGCACTGGATTTGACCATGCTGCGGCCGGGCGCATGGGCACAAGCATGATAAGGCTATGGCACGAGCTAGTTGGCCACACGCTTGCTTGTCTCTACGATACCCTTCTCCTATCGCTCACTCTCTCTCCCACTCCCCGACAGCTGAAGGAAACTGAAGAAACCTCATGAAATACAGGTTCAGGATGCTTTCTTTGCTCTGCTGGCTTTGTCTGTGTGCTGGTGGGGAGCAGGGGTGCTGTCATTCCATCCCCAGGAGCTGTGCGGCACTGTCCGCGGTGGCCAGGATGGGGTGAGCAGGCCTCTTGCTGCACAGGTCCAGCAGATCTTGCACGAGGGCTGCTGGGCTCCCTGGGTCCTGCTCACCTGGAGCTGCCTCCTCCTCTGGGGTACCTTGGCTGGGCTCGGCAGCCGGCTCTACCACTGCCTTCTCCTCCTGGAGGCTGCAATCCTTCCCCGCATTGGCTAAGCATTCTTTGCGGCTCCGGGTGATAGCCACGTGGTTGTTGGTACTGGAAGCCTCCGCTTCATTTTCTGAGACGGGATTGTTGCCGCTGTGGGCAGATTCGGCTTCGCTGTCCTCCTCGGCTCGCTCATCCTTGTCGCTGTCCTTCGCCTGATGCTTGCCATGCCTGGTCTTCTGGTGGATCCGCTGGTGCCTAACCAGGCTGTGCTTCAGAGTGAAGGTTCGCTCACAGGTCTGACACTTGTATGGCCTTTCCCCTGAGTAGCCAGAGAAAGAAAGGACATGTCTGTTAACCATAGGCTGCTCCCAGGGCCAGGGCACCTGCCTCCTCCAGGAGAGCGCTTATTACTTGTCTGAGCTGGCAACAATAGTCTAGAATGGGATCAGAGGAATCAGAATCTCACAACCTGGGAAGGAGTGAGGTGGGAGGCCAGGCCAGTGCTCCCCCCGGGTATCAGCTGGGCTTTTCCTCCATTTGAGAGCAGCACCTGTTAAAACCACGTCTCTACTGAGAACATGGCAGCCCAGCATAGGGCTAGGAGCTTCTTTGGGGAGTGGGGATGGGGAGTAGGTATTGATATTTCTTGGCATCATGGTTCTATCTAATTCTTTTTTCCCCCCTCCTGCCAGAGCAACAGCCACTGCTTTGCAGGCTTGTGGCTTCAATGCTACGGGTAGTGAGTGAGCTGGAATTGAAATGCCCAGGCGACAGCCAGGAGAGGATCCTGCCGAGGGCAATGGATGAAGCAGTCCTGCCTGCTTGCTAAGGAGGGCACATGGGGTCATCCCAGGGGCCAGACAGTGCCTGCCCCTGATCAGACTGGAGGGCCCCAAAGTTCTGTACCTGTCCTGTCTTGGACACCTGTACAGACAACCTAACCATCCTCCCCATCATGGTGGGCAGGCCTCCTCCGCCTTGCCCTGTGAGGCCTTGCCACTCCCACGATGAATAGGACTCCTCCCAATTCTCCCCGTGCTTCTGCCACTGAGGAGGGTCCTCCGACTCTCCGCCCTCGGTGCGCGGAGGCTCTTTCCTACCTGTATGAGACCTCATGTGGCGGGTGAGGTCCTGCAGGGACCAGAAACGCTTGTTGCAGACGCTGCACACCTTCTTCCTCTTGTCTGCCTTGCTGGCCGCGCCCTTGGGGGAGTCCGTCTTTGGTTTCTTGCCGTCGTCGCTTCTCTCGGAGGACTTCTTCTCTGCCATGCCTTCCCCGTCAGACAGGCCCTCTGTCTCTTCACTCTGCTTCTCCACCGAGGCCTCTCGTGTGCCTGGGGCCGACTCCGCTGTGGGGGACTCGTCGGGCTTCTCCTCAGACTCGGAGGCTGGGGCCAGCAGGGGCTCCTGGGCCGTTCCACTGGCAGTCTCCTCCTCCGGGGGCGGCTCCTGCTCATCCTTGGACTCCTGGTGGCCGTGCACCTTCCTATGGCGACTCAGAGTGCTGAGGAACTTGAAGCTCTTCCCACAGGAGTCGCAGGTATGCTTCTGTTCCTGAGGGGCTGGCTCTCCCCGGCTGCCCATGGCACCTGCCTCACCCTCTGCCAGCTTGAAGTCCATCAGTTTGCTGGCAAAGTCAAGGTCTAGGCTCTGGTTGCTGGCTGTGTCTTCCTCTGGGCCGTCTGCCTCCCCCAGGCTCTCCTCCAGGGCGTGTTCTTCCTTCGGCTCTGGCTCTAGGTTCTCCTCTGGTCCCTTCTCTTCCTCATTCCCGGGGAAGACCATTTCTGATTTGGTCTCCTCCACAGGAGGATCCACGGAAGCTGGGCTGGACTCAGTGGCTTCCTTTGCTGGCAGCTCCTCTTTGTCACGTGCTGTGAGATCTAGTACCTCACCTGCCCCGGCCAACATCTCCGAGTCAGACTGGCTGTCTGTGGGAGCAAGCAGAGTGGGAAAGGGATCAGAGGGGGTGCCTGCAAGGGCTTGATTCAGATTTGGCTGAATTCACCCTGAGAGCCTGGACCCCAAACCCTGGAAGTACTTCTCCTACCTAATCATCACTACCTGACCTCCTGAGGAGGATCAACGTGAACCTGGAGACTCAAGAAGGGCAAACCCAGCCTCCACATCCCCATAGGTAGGCACAGGAGCTCCAGAGCTGGCTTTAAGGCCACACCCAGGGACCCCTCTGCCCCCAGGAAGGTGTGAGTGACTCAGGCAGTGCAGGCAGAGGGCTGCAAGATAGGAGAGGGTTGCATTCCAGAGACTGGTAGCACTTAGGGAGGTTGAGGAAGCTGAGTTGGTAAGTTTTTCCAGTGCAAAGAGATTATCACAAACATGCAACATATACAGGACCACTCACCGAACCTTACAAAAACATCTCTGATGAACTTCATGGAAAATTCCCCATGCCCCATCATTCTATCTACTCAAGATGAAATCAAGAAGATCATGGTTCAAGGCCAGCCTGGGCAAAGAGTTCACTAGATGATCCCTCTCCCCAAGCTGGGTTTGGTGACACATGAGTCATCTTAACTATGGGGGGGGGGATGGGGGTGTTGGGGGAGTGTGAATAGGAAGACTGAAGTCAAAGCCAGCTTGGGTAAACAATGAGACACCTGCTCAAAAATAATGAAAGCAAAAATAGTTGGAAGCATGGTTCAAGCAGCAGGGACCTGCCCAACAAGCACAAGGCCGGTTCAAACCTTAGTACTGTCCTCACCAGAAAAAAAAAAATGAGCCCAAGTGTGGATTCCATGTATATTAGATACATTTTGCTTAACAGATCACCTCTAGATAGAGGTTGGAGACCAAGGGAGACACTTGTACATCGGTTGTTCTGCATGGGTGATGGAAATCTTTCAAAAGGAATGGGCCCCTCTCACCCTAAGTGTTATAAGTTGCTATGAGGGAGTTCTGAGGTACAGGCATCCGAAGACCTCAGCTTCCTGCCACTTGACTAGCTCCCATCGGTGTACTCTGTACAGTGAAACTAGGTGGTAGGGAGTCTACCAGCTTCCAGCCACTTTCTTAAGAGGACATTGTGGCTATGTTAATGACACTGAGTAACAAGCTGAAAGCACCACCTTTTTATGCAGGTAGAGTGAGGTCTTCATAGCTTTTAGGTTTTGTGCTCTGAGAGCAATGTAGAAGCTGGCTGGGACCTACTATTTTGCTGTAGATCCAATACCCAATTTATTACTTGGAGCATCCAAGGCTTCTCCTGAGTCAGACAAAATTGTTTTGGGGTACATGAGATGTCTTTATTCTAGCCCGTCTCTCATTAGAGGGGTGGAGCCAGCAAATGTAACACATACATACACAAATGTGAATGCTTGTGGGTGGGTGCCAATACTAGGACTTCAATTCAGGGCCTAGGTGCTGCCCCTTAGCCTTTTCTGCTCAAGGCTAGCACTCTACCACTTGAACCACACCTTCACTTTTGGCTTTTTGCTGATTAACTGGAAGTAAAAGTCTCAGAAGCTTTTTGGCCTGGGCTGGCTTTGAACTCAGAGGCTGAGATTTGAGGATTACAGGAATGAGGTACCAATGCCGGACTAGAGCTAGGAAAAAATTTACACCTAACCTAACTTTCACATGTGGTGGCCAGCAAACCATGTTAATCTACACTCATCTCTCCTTAGTGTACATGATCCATGATTTGCCAGCAATGCAGTCTTGGGCTGGGATAAGAAGCTGGGAGGGCTTTCTGCATGACACTTGTATTTTATATCTATCTACCTATCTACCTGTCTATCTATCCATCCACATATACATATGTGTATATATATTCTGATTATAACTGGTGGCAGCCCTTGTTTGTGTACTTCAAGAGATATCAGAAGGAATCACATAATTGTAGGGTAAAGATGATTTGGGTACCACCTCTACAACAAAAATTAAAATTGTGTTTCTGGAACTTGAGCTCAGGGTCTGGGCACTGTCCCTGAGCTTCTTTTGCTCAAGGTTAGCACTCTACCACCTGAGTTACAGTTCCACTTCCAGCTTTTCCTGTTTATGTGGTTTGAGGAATCAAATCCAGGGTTTCATGCATACTTGGCAAGCACTCTACCACCCCCCCCCCCCCAAAAAAAAAGGGACTTTTTGTGGTATTGGGATTTGCTTGCTTGCTGGGCTGGTGCTCCTAACGCTTGAGCTGCTAAATGTCTTTTAACGATTATTTTAGAGTCTCACAAACTTTTCTGCCTGGGCTGGTCTCATATTATGATCCTCCACATCTCAGCCTCATGAGTAACTAGGATTATAGTTGTAAGCCCCTGTAGCCTAGCTTGACTTAGAACTCATGATCCTCCTATGTTAGCTTCCCAAGTGCTGGTATTATGGAATAATAAGCATATCCAGGCTGGCCTCAAACTTGAGAGTTCAAATGGTCCTCCTCCCTCCTCATCTTCAGTAACTGGGACTACAGGTGTGTATTACCACATCTGACCACACGGGTTGTTTTAACTATACATATTTAATAAGCATAGGAAAAAATAAAGTGTGAAACCAAACCTGAGCACATACATTAAGACCAAACCATCCCAAACTTGGACTGTTTCTTTCCTTTTTCTTTCTTTTTTTTTTTTTTTTTGGGGGGGGGGGGGTCCAGTCGTGGGACCTGAACTCTCGGCCTGGGAGCTGTCCCTCAGCTCTTTAGCTCAAGGCTAGTGCTCTAGCACTTGAGCCACAGGGCCACTTCTGGTTTTTCTATTTTTTTCTTATGTGGTGCTGAGGAATCGAACCCAGGGCCTCATGCATGCAAGGCAAGCGCTCTGCCTCTGAGCCACCTTTCCAGCCCTGTTTCTTAAGAATTGACAATGGAGCTTTCTCTCCAAGTACAATAGCCCCACTTCCTTATTGAACAAGGGGGCTGGGCTGTGCTCTACCAAACTTCCACTAGAGGGAGCATTTTAGAAGAGTTTGAGGCAAGTCAACTGATTTTATTAAGAGGGGGAGGAAGGAGGGCAGTCCTGGGGTTTGAACTCAGAGGCCATGTTTGCTGACTTGCATGCTCACAACTAGTGCTCTACTACTTGAGCCACACTTCCAGCTAAGCTTTTTGCTAGTTTGGAGATAGAGACTCACAGTCTTCTGCCCAGGCTAGCTTCAAATCTACAGCATCCTGAGGATGCTGGGATTACAGGCTTGAGTCACCAGCACCTGGCTCCAAGTGATTTTTATTCTTGATTCTTGGGAATAATAGACTCAATTTTTTTCACATATCAACAATATTCCACTTGTAAGATCAGTATAATTTTGACACATCCAATGGTAGGTAGGTACCTGAGACTGTGGCTCTTTATAAGCAATGCTGTCCTCTTAAAAACATGCACTGCTTCTGCTCCCATCATTCCCTCATTTATATCATTAATACCTGATAAAATAGTTGGAGGAAGAAGAGAAACCCTAGCAAATAACAAGCCCACAGCTCCTTCTGCAGGAAAGCATGTTCCCCATCAGCTTGCCAGGGAAGGATTTCTTGTTCCTAGAAATGCAATGCTGCTCAACGGATGCGACAAGCATGTTAAGCCTACATAAACTCATGTGCAGGGGAGCACTATAGAGAAAGTTGCTCTGCCTGTCTTCGCCTGCTGCCTGTATTGGGGAGCAGTTCTTGGGGCACATAGGACTTGGTGATTAGGGCAAGGTAACTGCGATTAAGGGGAATGTTTCAAAGCTTTCACATTCATACTGATCAAAAACATTCCTGTGTCTACCAACATGCCAGCTCCTCCAGGCACCATCAGTGCAAAAACCTTATGCACATCCCTTAAGGGAAAAGCAAGTCACATCTGCCTGAGCAGACTGCAGCGTGTCCATTAAAATTGTAATATTCAATTCGGCCCCTTTAAGGGAGAACTATCTCCCACTGTTGGATTTTAAACATGATGCTGAGGGAAAATCTGAGGTCCATGTTTAAAGATTATAAGAGAATGCCATCTAGAAACCTCACCATTTCCTGCGTGTAAAAAAAGAAAAGAAAGTTTGTTGCTTCAAAGTCCTACTTTTAACTTTATGGGAAGGAGCTCTGAGAAGCCTGCCATGCTTGTCTGCTTTATAAATTTTCCCTTAAAATCCTTAATATCTGCTCTCTCTTTCCTAATTGTCAGCCCTTTTTCTCAGTGTGGACTGTATCCACAATTAAACCAATCTATCTTCCCTTTGCTGGCATTACAAGTTTCTGTGACTTCTTTTCCCAGAGGTTTTATCCCTTTAAGAAAATCTATACAATTTCCAGGGTAGGGCCTTGGAAAAACAAAAACCTGTAATTGTAAACTTAGAAAATAAATACACCCACAGGCTAACAGCTCATGCTAAGGTGAATCTCAAGACTGTAAATTCTCCTTAACCCTGTGCTTGTAGGATCTACAATGGTCCCCTCTGAAGTCAGAGGAGCTCGTGTGTGTGTGTGTGTGTGTGTGTGTGTGTGTGTGTGTGTGTGTGTGTGTGTGTGTGTGTGTGTGTGTGTGTGTGTGTGTGTGTGTGTGTGTGTGTGTGTGTGTGTGTGTGTGTGTGTACATGTATTCTTCCCATATGACTGGAATACTGAGTGCAAAAGAAAGCAACCGGCACATGGCTGCTTCACTGTAAGACTTGTCTGTACACAGGAGTACCTCAGCTCCCAACACTCCCAACCTCAATTAGCAGCTGCCTTCCCTTATTGGCAAGGAAAGAATCACATGGCCATTTTGTAAATCAGGCTAAAAAAAAAAAAAAAAAAGAGTTCTGGACTAACAGGTACTGGGGCAGCCGACAGTTAAACATTAATGGGACTGTCTGAGGCAAACTCAAGCTTGGCAGTGCAGACAGGAGCTCACCCTTGGCTCACAGGGATCTGAACCACACAGGATTTTGCTCCCGCAGAAGAAAGATCCACACCTTTCTTTACCCAAAGATCCTGGTGGAGTATGTGGAAATGGAAGCTAAGGAAGGAGCCAGCAAACCAGCTGACCTGTCTGAGGATCTAGATGGGCGGTGCTAGCAGGCCAAAGACCTGTTCCATGTGGGCCAGGTGGGAGGCACAGGGAAGGTTACAGCTGACTTCCCTACCAGGGAGCAACTGTCTTAGAAATCCTGCCCACTCCAGTGTGCCCTATTTTCCTGCTGCTAAGGTAAGGCCCGGGAGTCTGGGGACGATGGCCATCCACACTGAGTGCTGGAGTGCCCCGTGTACTACACGGCACCCATTCCCATCCACATCAGAGGAAGTGAAGCCGCGGGACACAACTGCAATCCTAGAAACACAGAGAGAAGGGGAAAGAAAGCAAGCCCTTGGCTTTCACACACTGGGGGAAGGTCCAGCTTTCACCTGGAATGCTCTTACCTGTGACTGCCACTTGTCTAAGCCACCTGCAGCAGCTGAGTTTTGTTCAGTTTGTTTTAGGGGACAGGAGATGATGGAGTGTATTGAAGAGAGAATATGAGTAAATATAGAAGCCGTAGGGGGAAAAAAAAAGGTGTCAGGACAGCGTTAATTGCTCTGTAGGGGGCCGGTGCAAGGAAACACACATCAGCACAAGAGAATAATACCCGGATTCAGGTCAAGCAGAGATGTGATTAAAGAAAGGACATGCAGAGTGCTTTTTCAAACAAGGACAGTTTTACACTAAGGAAAGAGTTACTGAGAAGATAAGCACCCTGTCTTGGTCTTCTAT